ATAATGAAGTAAATAGATATTTTTATCCGAAGTAAATACATGCAGAACGAACAGTTAAACGAATTTACTCCAGCAGAGCATATTCATCAGATTCGCTCATATTTCGATATCATAGACAATGCAGTTCAAATTGGTGACACTAATAGAAAATATTCTGACGCAAAGATTCCATCACAACCTGGAACTGCTAAAGATAACACATGGGTAACATTCAATCTCTCACCTCCTGGTGAAATATGTTGGACCTTTACAATACATTCATTACGTATAAAATGGAAGGTCAATTTATTGTAGATAAAGAAATTGGTTCAGGTTCCAATAAAACAAACCCACCAGGATTTTGGATTGGTTTCGATGACGCTTTCTATGCGGTTGCTGGATATCAAATCCTTGCAAATGGTCGTATCGTATATTCTCAAGACAACGCAAGAGAAGAAGCATATATATACTTCAAACTCACAAACTACCGAACAAATAAAGAAAGTAGATGTTTTCTCAAAGACTCGACATGAAGATGTATGGAGTCATTCGGGACATGCAGAACAGGACAAATTGTTAGTGGTCCAATTACAGCAGGAAAATCATTTGATTTAAGCTTCGTTTAAGAATTCCTGTTAGAAAGTTTTTACCATTAGAAGCTATAAGATTTATTCCTGCATTTGCTGGTAACATTCAGCTTAAAGTAAAGTTCAGTAGCGACGCCTTACAATGCACATCTATATCTGTAAATGATATCATTGCTTTCAATCCAACTCTTAAAGTTGCATTTGCTTCAGATTCAAATCCACCGACAAAATAATTTGTTCCATGGAATGAAACCATTCACTATGATAACGAAGGCAGTAGAAGCTAGTGGAAACAGTTACTATTACAACTGTAACCCAGCAACTATTTCGAACAAAGATGGATTTTAATGAATGTTTCATTCATCCAAAGTCATTCTCTTTAGACCCTAACATTTATACAGAACTTGTAGAACATTATACAAACGAGGCTTTATGTTTTTCCTGTTAAAGTTATGGATTGGATTCCTATGGACGGTTCATTCTCAAAGAATACGATAGTTCAAGTGCAACATTTACAGCAGCTTATACGCCTATTAATGTTAAAAGTATTTGGGCACTATTTAGAAAGAAAGACAACTATTATGTTAATTTTGAGAAACCCTAAGTTTAAATATCTTCAGCTTTCCATGGGAGCTTATGGAAATATACCTGCAGAACCTGAAAAATCATATGGACCTGTATTTTATGAAATGGTTGCGAACGCTTGCAATACAAACAATGATATGATAGGATTTAATGAAGATGTTATGAGGTCATTGGTGGATGATGGTAGTGTGGTGAACATAAATGGGATAGCTATGACAACACACATTTCTTATGTGGGTTTTCCAACAGAAGTGGACTTTTGCTTCCAGCAAGGTCAAACATCTACTGCTCCAATAACATACAAATTGTCTGTTAAAGGACCTATTGAACTAGCAACTGAAAACGTACCAAAGCACTTATTGGATTTATGAGGGATTGTTGCTTTGCCATTCAGGTGCGTGCTAATGGCATCCCCATAATAAGATTAGATGACTATAACTTAGCTACGGACGACAGTGAGGAATAAAGGATGAACGTTTATTTTTAAAGCTTATAAATGAGTTCTTCATCAAGTCTCGTGAACCTTCACCATCTATGAAACAAACTTTACCAAACGATTATGGAGCACCTATTGAATATTTCTTACGAGCTGCACAATGGCAAAGAGCAGTCTCACCAAGGTTAGGTGTTCCACTAGCTCCTGTCAAAAATAGCATTTGGTCAAGTCCTTATATAAGATATGGTCTCCCACTAGGTTTGCTAGCTACAGCAGGAGCAGTTTATGATGTTGAAAGAAATAAAGCAAATGTTGTAAATAATACTGAAGTAGCTGAAGTTAAACAAACTCCAACACCTTCACAAGCAAAACTTCAATGACTCCTGAACCTATGGAAGTACAAACTCCTGTTCAAAAGTCAACTCCTAAACCGACTCCAACATTTAAACCAGAACCTACTCCTCAAATAAATCGTAAAACTCCTGCGTTTCCTTACTGAAAAATAACGTTATTTTTATTTAATATTAAAATTTTTATTTGATTGAAATGACAAATAAGTCACTGAAGCAATGAAACAAAAGTTCTTGGTAGAATACATTAAATCAGGAACTATTCCAGAAGGTTTTTACATTCATACTATGAAGGATGGTAGAGTTCAGTTTAGAAAGATAAAGCAACCATTAGATAGAGAAGGTATATTAAGGAAGATTAAACTTCATGAGGACAACATTGCTGAACTTAAGAAGAAGTTAGAAGAGTTGGAGAAAGGAAGAGAGTTATAAAGCAATGAATTCAACAGGGTGAAAAAAGAGGTGAAAAAAGAGGTGAGATCTCACCACTTCACCTAAATTTATTTTTGTGCTATGTTTTCATACATGTGAGGGTGGTGAGATCATTTATTTTTAAGTTTATTTTTTATTTTATTTTTATTTTATTTGGATGTAAATGACGAAAACTATTGAGATAACAAACTACAACGGTCATGAGTTCAAGAATTTGTTCTTCGTTCCTCGTGAAAATACATTCTATCAGATACGAGGGAGAAAGGGTAAAGTTAGTTTGAGCGTTTATGAAGGAATGAAGAATGGAAAGTTTATACAAGCATACGATACAAACGGTAAACGTGTTTCATTAGCTTTGTCAAAACTTACTAACATTTATTTTGACAGTGACTTTGACCTATATGAAGAAGAAAGTGAGTCAGAAGATTATGAGTTGTTATGTGAAGCACAGCAATGGGAGGAGTTGCAATACTTTTGTAAGTGAGAACGTTTATTTTTTACAGTAGTGAGGTGAAGTGGTTGGCGGCTTTGTAAATATTTAAGGTTAAGTTAGTGTTGTCGTTTGTGTTGTAAAATATACGTTAACGGTTTTGTAAAGTGTCAAAACCGTTAAGTGGTGTACGGAGGAGCGCAGTGCCACCGTACACGACTTAGCCATACTAACTAACTTTCTTGAACAGATTCGACAAAGATAGCTAAAGAAACTTTTTCATCCGAACTAAAGCGTTTGGAAACAATTTCAGCTCTTTGAGCAAATTTACGTAATGCATCTGGACCTTGTGCAAATATTGAAAGTAACTCTTCGTCTGTATATGAAATATTTAAGTCTTGGAAACACTTAAGTTGAGCTGTAGCATGATTCATATTGTTTTCAAAGTAATGTTTAAGATAATTTCTGACAAATAATGAGGATATTGTTTTTGTTGATTTCGGAGGTGCAGAATGATCATGAGAGTCAGAGTGGATTAGTAGTTCATATTTATCTTGATCTATTATCCGGACTTTGAATTTAGCTTGACATTGTGGATACTTACATTTGTATTCGATCGTGGAGTATTCTTTCCTGCATTTTTGAGAGTAGCCCATGCTAGCTTTTATCTCTTCTTGGATACCAAACTGGAGGAGCTCCATAGTGTTGAATATCACGGGCTCCATACAACAAATTGAATAAGGTATTTCAAAATTTGAAGGAAATGGTCCATCATTGAATGTAGTGGCCGGGAATTGAATGACATACAGATAGTTTGAGGAAATTTGTTATAAATTATAATATAATTGAAGAATTAATTATCAAAACAAGTCTAAGAGCCATTAGTCAGATTTTCCCGAAATGCAAGGTTAAGATTTTAGCAGCGACTAACTTTGAGTGTACATATATAATTGTTATAACTGAGTACTTTCTATCTGTGTTACTTATTTGAGTCTAAGAGCCATTAGTCAGATTTTCCCGAAATGCAAGGTTAAGATTTTAGCAGCGACTAACTTTGAGTGTACATATATAATTGTTATACTGAGTACTTTCTATCTGTGTTACTTATTTGAGTCTAAGAGCCATTAGTCAGATTTTCCCGAAATGCAAGGTTAAGATTTTAGCAGCGACTAACTTTGAGTGTACATATATAATTGTTATACTGAGTACTTTCTATCTGTGTTACTTATTTGAGTCTAAGAGCCATTAGTCAGATTTTCCCGAAATGCAAGGTTAAGATTTTAGCAGCGACTAACTTTGAGTGTACATATATAATTGTTATACTGAGTACTTTCTATCTGTGTTACTTATTTGAGTCTAAGAGCCATTAGTCAGATTTTCCCGAAATGCAAGGTTAAGATTTTAGCAGCGACTAACTTTGAGTGTACATATATAATTGTTATACTGAGTACTTTCTATCTGTGTTACTTATTTGAGTCTAAGAGCCATTAGTCAGATTTTCCCGAAATGCAAGGTTAAGATTTTAGCAGCGACTAACTTTGAGTGTACATATATAATTGTTATACTGAGTACTTTCTATCTGTGTTACTTATTTGAGTCTAAGAGCCATTAGTCAGATTTTCCCGAAATGCAAGGTTAAGATTTTAGCAGCGACTAACTTTGAGTGTACATATATAATTGTTATACTGAGTACTTTCTATCTGTGTTACTTATTTGAGTCTAAGAGCCATTAGTCAGATTTTCCCGAAATGCAAGGTTAAGATTTTAGCAGCGACTAACTTTGAGTGTACATATATAATTGTTATACTGAGTACTTTCTATCTGTGTTACTTATTTGAGTCTAAGAGCCATTAGTCAGATTTTCCCGAAATGCAAGGTTAAGATTTTAGCAGCGACTAACTTTGAGTGTACATATATAATTGTTATACTGAGTACTTTCTATCTGTGTTACTTATTTGAGTCTAAGAGCCATTAGTCAGATTTTCCCGAAATGCAAGGTTAAGATTTTAGCAGCGACTAACTTTGAGTGTACATATATAATTGTTATACTGAGTACTTTCTATCTGTGTTACTTATTTGAGTCTAAGAGTCATTTCTACCATAGAACTAGATATTGTCTCTCATTAAATATATATAACTGTAAACTGCTTAATTCATTTATCTATTTAGATAAAATTATATTTATATAAGAGTTCATGTTATTATTTCATCTTTATTATTTTTTTTATTCCTTTGAAAAGTGACACTGGATAGTTTGTCCCTTTCTCGGAAACAATCGAAGTTTTCAAATTTAATTCTTTGAGTTTAATGCAATGACAGAATGCTCTCGTACCAATGTTTGAAACTGAATTTGGAATTTCGATACAAGCAAGAATACTGCATTCTTCAAAGGCCATTTCTTCAATTGTCGTAATGCTATCTGGTAATTTTATTTCTCTTAAACTACTGCAACGATAAAAGAGTTCTGAAGAAATGCTATTTATGGATGAAGGTAAAGTGATGTTTTCTAATGATGTCATGCCTTTGAAACAACATTTGTCGATTGTAACCTGTCTTGATAAATTCAAGAATATGATACTTTTAATATTGATACAATCTTCAAATGCAGATTCACCAATTTTTTGGATGTTTTCTGTGATTGTAAAACTTTCCAATGATCTGCAATTTTGGAATGAAAATTCTCCTATAGATCGAAGAGTATCATGAAATTGAATCGATTTTAATGAATAACAATTTGTGAATAGATAGCTGTTGATGGTAGCCAAATCTGCTTTAATTGCAATGCTCTCCAAATTAGTGCAATTTGCAAATACACCTGTGTCTATCAAGTCTCCATACCCCATCATGCAAACAATGCTTTTAACATTATTACAATTTGCAAATGCGTATTCATTAATCTTTCCAACTGGTATTGAATCAAATGTTAATTTTGTGCAATTATAAAATGCTCTTATTCCAATTGAAGTTAAACTGTCTGGAAAATCAATTTTACCAAGATTTATGCAATTTTCAAAGGCTTTATCTCCAATCTTATTCAACGTAGAAATAAATTGTATTGTTTCCAGACCAAAGCAGTTACTAAATGCGCCTTCTTCTACAGAAAATGCTGGAATTTTAATATGTTTAATGCTTAAGCAGTATGAAAATGCATAATTACGAATCGATCCTAGAGAAGATGGAAAAGAATCAAATGTTAATTTCTTGCAATTATAAAATGCATATTTTCCAATTGAACTTATACTATCTGGGAAATCAATTTTACCAAGATTTATGCAATTTTCAAAAGCTTCATCTTTTATAATTCCAGATTCAAATTGTATTGATTCCAAACCAAAGCAATTACTAAACGTGCCTTCATTTATAATATCTATTGGAATTTTAATATGTTTCAAGCTTAAACAATATGAAAATGCAAACTTGGCAATAGCAATTAGATCATCTGAAAAAGAATCTAAGGTTAATTTTGTGCAATTATAAAATGCATATTCAGAAATTATTGAAATACCAGAAAAATCTATTTTGCCTAGATTAATACAATTCTTAAAAGTACCAGCCTTTATGTCTAAACCATATGGGAGATTTATTGATTGAAGATTTGTACAATTGCAAAAACATTCTTTTCCAATGGAAGTAACATTTGGTTGGATTTCAATATGTTGTAAACTCGTGCAACCACAAAATGCATTGTTCTCAATAATCATCAATGATGCAGGGAGTTGTATTGCTTGAAGATTTATACAATTGGAAAAACAAGACTCTCTAATGAATGTAATATTTGGAGGAAGTTCAATATGTTGTAAACTCGTGCATCCACAAAATGCATGGTCTTCAATTGATTCTAATGATGCAGGGAGTTGTATTGTTTGAAGATTGATGCAATGTTCAAATAAAGATGATGAAATAGATTTTAAATTTGAAGGAAGTTGAATAGTTTCAAGTAGTGTGCAACTTTGAAATGAGCATTGTGAAATAACAGTTTTTTCGGAATGAAAAACGATTGTTTTCAAATTTAAACAATAATGAAAAGAAAAATCCTCAATTATTAAAAGATTTGGAGGTAATTCGAGACTTTCTAAGCTAATACAGTCAGAAAATGCATATTGATGAATTATTTCTAATGAATTTGGAAACGAAATCTTGGTAAAATTATCCCAATATGCATATTGATATTCTCTTATTTCTTTTGTGCCTTCAGGAATGATAAGAGTGTCAGTATCTTGAAAGTTAGAAGCTGCTTGGATCAAAAGAATCAAAGAAAAGATCATATTGCTAATTTGTAAAGTTCTCAATTTGATATTTCAGATCATTCGGATCAATAAAAAAATAGAAATTGACTTAAGCTTGTCCAGAATCTCCAAATACAAAGAATCTTCAGCGCATGTCCTTATATTATTTCTTTATGGATCTAAAAATAAATTGTTGGAGAAAAATTCGTTTCAAATTTACGATATTTAGAAGAATTTAATTCCACCATAATAAATGTATGATATAAACGAATCTTATATATGTAAAAAATGCATAAATCATGTAACAAGTTGAAAAATTAAAATCCATTATCATCGATTTGATAATTCTGAAACTTTAATGCAAACTACAGTTTGATACATGGAAAAAAAAGTTAAAAATTTACTCAAATTTTTCCTACAAAATTTTTGGCGCAGGACGATAGCTACGTCAGAGATGTCGAGTGCAAAATATTTCGAGTTTTTTGGGAATGGTGCAAGCCCAAATCTCTCGAATGACGTACTAGATATCCTCGAAAACTTCCTATTATTTGAATCCAGCGAGGTAATTGAGCCTAACGTCCGAACAATTTTGGATTATATTGTTCCATTCTTACGAGCATTCATCGGTAAAGGCCAATCTAGTGACGTCAATGAAAAAGCATATATAAAACGCATGTTTAATATCTTAAGATGCATTAAACCCATACATTATAATTCTGATATAGCCAGAAACCTTGAAGAGATCTCATTCAGCTACTTAATCAATACGAATGAAACTACTGAGTCCGCTTACCTGTTTCTAGTAGAACACTACCTTACAGGACCACATGGTAACGCTAACGGACTTCTTGATTTACTCAAATGGTCAGTGCAAACCATCAGCATGTATGCAAACAGATTGGAATTGCTTGACTATTCCATAGTAGCTGTGATAGTAGAGTCATTTGCTCAAATTTATTTCACTAACGGGCCACAAATTGACAAAAGTGAGATAGCTCTTCCATTTATCAACTTTGCACGCAATATATTGGATTTGTCTCCACAGTACCATACCCCTATTCTACTCAGATTCTGTGCAAAATCATTGCGAATCGTTTCAAGAATTTATGAACACAGAGGAGAACTTGATCCATCGCAAGTATCACCTCAGATATATGTTATGATTCGAGAATTACAGAATAAGATACCAAATAGCCCTCAATATTCTCAAATTTATCAAAATTATTTATTGGTCTACGCTTTATTGATCAACGATAAGGAGAAAGACATGTACGTGTACTTCGTACAAGAATTCCAGAAGCAATTATACGCAATTACGATGCCTTACCACTTAAGATCAAGGAGAATCAGTTTTACCCTCTACTTCTCGGCTTTTCCGATTTCTAAGTTCGCCGTGACTAATCCTTCATTCATATCTGATGTATTCGCACGTACTCTAAGTGTTATTTCCTCTGCACAAACGCCTCCAGAGCTCAGCCAAAGTTTAATGAAAACTTTCCAGTTTATCGCACCAGAACCTGTTATAAAGCAAGACCCTTTCATTTTACATGACATGGTTGACCAAATTGTCGATTGTTTCGAAATTTCAAGATTAGACTACGAACAATCGGTAAAACCTACTGAATCATGGTCCAAAATCAATAATACAATACTCATAGCCTTGAAGAAGACCTACCAACCAATGTACGCCATAGAACAAATGAAATTGGAAATTGCAAGGAGATTTACCATCCATGCGAGGTATTCGTTCGATTCAACCAAGCAAAAGGACATAAATAAAAGGTGCGACCAGATTGTTAACTTCATAGAACAGTTTGTTGACAAACTTCCAAATCAGTACATAACCGCTTTCTGGAAAAGTAGCTTAGAGTTGTTCCTCCCGACAGATGATAGCCAACAGTACCTTGTTGAGTTCCATAACAAGATTTTAAATTCGAATATTTGTCAGAAAATTTATTATCTCATCCAATTCTACATTGCAGTCTCCGATAAATTCGCTACGTTGCATAAAATCACCGCCGATATCATCCACAAGATCAACCAAGTAGTTTTTTTCAAGGATGTGATCAAATTAAACCCATATCAATACAAAACACTCTGCGGAAATATCTTCAACATATTCATGCAAATACTAGAGAGAAATGACTCTCATTTGATCGAAACAGTCATTATTCCTTTCTTTTCGGAATATAATAAAGGAATACAACAAGCGCAGCAGAACCAGAACCCTCAAAACCAAAACCCACAACAGAAGATAGTACAGCCGAACTTCCAACAGAAGCTGGAAGTCTTAATCAACCAATTAGAGAAGAATTACCAGTTTTTCATCGATATTTTGAAGAATAACGAGAACAACCTTACAATATCTAACCTTTCGATCGTACTTTACCCATTACTTTCCAAAGCTTCCCCACAAAGAAACGATGATTGGTTCCAGCTTTTCCTTTGCGCACTCCAGACCCCCAAGAATGACTTATCGATTTATTTGAACATACTCTACAACGCTTTGAAGCCAAACATCCAAACAATTTTCGAAAAATTGTCAAAACCTGTAGCCATGAAGTTTGTTTCCGCTCTATCGACCATTTTAATGAAAGGCGAATCCAAAGATTACGCCAGAGCCATTCTACGCCGAATTCCTGAAAAAGTCATGTCATCGGCGATTGAACCCCCCGACTCTTCTCCCAAACTTACTTTAGCTAATGTCGATGGCTTCGATATCCCTATCGACCCATTGTTCGCTAAAATCCAGTCTTTGGACAAAATTTCACCCGACCAAGTTGAATTTCTTACGAAAGCGTTCTTAAATCTACTTGAAAGGAAGACATTTTTAGAATGTACGACCTCAAAGATTACGAACGACCTCGTAAAGTTCCTTCACAAGAACAATTCAACGATTTTCCAGCCACAAACGGCATTTCACTCCGCACAGCCTCCTGCCTTGTACACGATCCGGTTTTTCGAGCATTCCGTCATGAAAAACATTGAACAGACCATTAATTTCGTACAGGATAAATCAGAATTTGCAAATAACATTGCAATACTCTGCCATTACAAGGAATACGCTGCTACAGCTGTTTCTATCCTCGGACAGACGCTGCCTTTCATACCAGTGAACCAAGTTTTCGTAAGAATTGTATCTTCATTATTTGAAGCTTGCAGTTTCGATTACGATAACGCTCTTGCCCTTCTCAATCAGTATGTATTCAAAAGGCAGTACGTTCATGAGGATAGCCAGTTCATAAACCAAATTGTTAACGAAATGTTGAGAATGTCCAAACCGTTGAGGACACAAAAGGCGATTACTGCAGCGCAAATTGGTCTGACAGAGCTAAGGAAGCAGAATGAGATACATGGACTCATCAGAACTGCAATTAAATCTTTTATCAACCAATTCATGCAGTCAAGAGAGAATTCGGCCAAGGCATATGTCTACCAGTTCATATTCTCACAGAGGTTCGAGGATGTCATTGAAAATCATCAAAGTTTTTTTCAATTTATCATCGAAAATCTCAACAAGAGGCAGCCAGAGAAGATTCTGCCACAGTTCATCAAATGCATGAAGAAGCTAAACTCCTACAAGTCAGAAAAGATGCTTGAGTTCGACCAAATAAGATATCTCATTAAATTACTTGCCTGGATTTGTACAACAGAGCCACAACAAGACCTAGCAGGATATTTCTGGACCGAAACCATAAAAGCTGTTAGAGATCCGAAATTTGTTGATCATATTACGTATTTCGTAAAGAAAATCAAGAATTTCGTAAAGAAGATCGGTGGCTCTATTAATTACTGTCCATATAACATCGAATTCGATACGAAACAGAGGCAAATCAACATCCATGAACTCAATCTTTTCGAATATTTGCTGGAACAGAACCATATCCAGCCAATTGATGCCTTCGCACGTGATTTGTACAGCTTCATTGTGCAGTTAACCAAGCAAAAAGGTCCTCCAAACTATTTATCCCCAATTTTCAGGACAATTTCATGTTTTCCGACCGGCCAACTTACTCCAGAGCTTCGGCAATTGATCAAAACAGGCTTTGATTTGAGTTACTACTTCTATGAACAGCAATGGTTTGCAAATCAACCTGAAATCTTCGTTAAATCGTTCCAGAGAGAGTCAGTAACCATTATTGTTGACTCCTTCAAGGACCAGTTCTCTCTTTCATACCTAAATCTCGCTCAAAGGTTGTTTAATCATCCAGATTTAGCTGATTTCAGAGATGAGATCATTCTTTTGCTTGCGAACAACACCCAACAAGTTCTTGAGTACCTAGAGAAGCACAAAGATCAGATTTCCATGCAAATCCAGAATGTTGGTCATCATCATTCACATTCACAACAGCAAAACCAACAAAATCAGCAGAACCAACAACAGAATCAGCAGCAAACACAGCAAAACAATCAATCCTATCAACAACAGAACTATCAACAGAATTACCAACAACAACAGCAACAAAGACAACAACAAATGAATCAATTTCCTCAATATCAACAACAACAACAGTTAAAAATGCAAAGACAGCAACAACAAAGACAACAAACATATCAACAACAAAATTACCAACAGAATTATCAACAACAACAGAACTATCAACAGAATTCTCAATCTTTTCAACAAAATTATCAAAATACTCAACAACAACAAAACAATCAACAGAACACACAACAGAACCAACAACTACAACAGATGTTGAATATGTTGAATAAACTCAATTCAGGAAAGATGTCATCTCAATCATCACAACAAATGACTCCTTCTGCAATGACACCTCAACAAATAACTCCAAACCAAATGATGCAATCTCCAATGCCTGGCTCAAATTCAATGAACGGAACTCCTATGTCTAACACTCCAATGCAATCTCCAATGCCTCCTTCCAATCCTCAACAGCTCCAACCTACAAACCCTCCAATGCCAATGCCAATGTCTAATTCAATGGGTGCAAAGCAAAATCAAATGCAAAACACTTTACAAAATACGTTACAAAATCAGTATCAGAACCAATATCAAAATCAGTTGCAAAATCAAATACAAAACCAGATGCAGAACCAAATGAATATGAGACAGATGCAGCCATCAATGTCACAACAATTACAGCAAACTCAACAACAACAAAATATTCAAAACATTCAAAATATTCCTCAAAATGTTCAGAATGTTCAACAAAATTCACAGCAACAGAATATTGAGAGGGTTTCAATGGTCACTTCACCTTTAGCTGTAAATTTGATTATTTCCAAAGCAATTAAAGATTTACCAGTGATATTGAAGTATGGATGCAGTGAGAACACATTGTACAATGTACAAGTATTAGTAAAGAAACTAATAGAATGTGGAAAAACAGATCAACAGTATCATTTGAGTTTATTTAGACCAAGTTTGTTTTTGGCTGCAGTGCAAATTCTGTTTCCTATTGAACAACTCCAAGTTGTAGAGAATTCCAAGCGATTGTTAGCGATGATCAATGACAACATCAATTTCGTCATCAGACAGCCATTGATGTTCACTCATTCATTGTTTATTTCTCGATTTGTGAAATTCACAAAATATTTCACACCGAAAGGAATGATGATAATGGAATCCATCAACAATGCTCCTGCAACAAACATTGTTTCAAGAGTGTTCCAGGCGTGGCTTCGCTACGAAACATTCTTACAATGTCCACCAGAACAACCACTTTATTTCACAGGAAATTTCGTGACAATTGTTCCTTCAGAGAGTTTGTTGAATGACAATTTGATAAGGTATTACAATGCCATGCTACATAACATAAAGAATATAACTGTTCCTGATTTCACGTCATGTATGATTGAGTCTGTTTCTCATGACATTCACGCAGTAGCAATCATGAAAAATGTCTTACAACCAAACACAATTTTGAATTTCTCAAGATTGCTGAGTATCGCGAAAACAATGAAAGCGAAAGATGAAAATGACACGACATATCAAGATTCGATGACCGAAGTCTTTAACTATTTAGTCTGGAAGATTCCTGCTGTCACTGTTTCATCGAAAATCACAATGAGAGTTGCTGGAACAACACCAAGTGTTTTCAATCCGAAAAATTTGAATTTTACAAAGGCAATATTACGTTATTCTTACATCAATTCATTGAGCGTTGGCATGAAAGTTAGTGATCTTTATACATATTATTTACCGAGTATTTTCGAGTCAATTGTTAATACTCCAAACCATTTCGCTCATTCCAGAATTTTTGATGTAATTTTGTACATGATTTTGAAGAAAGACACAAAAATATTGACATTTGACCAATTCCCGGCATCACTTGAGAAGATCAAAAACTCGGTTACATTGCAATCAGTTAACAGTAGATACATCAATGAAATAAAGAAGCATTTGACAGAGAAATTGCCGAAAGAAATAACTCCTGTCCAATACACATTTTACCTACAATTAGTTGCAAGTATTTCTCAACTAATTTCCCAGAAAGATCCAATTTATCCTGTTGCTCTTTCTTTCAGGTATTTGATGTCTGTTCCTCCACCAAAAGAATTTGTTTCTTTGTATCAAAGAGCCCTCAAAGACATAATTAAATACGGATCTCATCCAATGGCTGAATACGCAATTTCCGAGATTTACAGTGCCATGAAAATCACTGTTAACTCTCCTTTCTCGCCTCCTCTAAAATCTCCTTTTGGAACTGTTGTTCAATGGATTTCGGAATTTGCAAATTCACCTCACTTTTGGATAATGTTGTTTTTGTTTGATGCTGTTTTCCCACAGACAGAAACACAACTGTTAGCTGAGATAACGAAGCTGAAATATCCAATTCATCCTTATGTAATTAATGAGTTCAACAAAGTGTTGAAAGAGAAATATCCTGATGCATTCCAACAATGCAACAAATCGAGTAAAAACAGGATATTAGTTGTATCTCAAGAACGAGACATTGTTGAAGCATGTTGGCAAAATGATTGGGCATCACAACATCAAGACATGCACATACAAATCTTCAGTAGAATGTTCCTTCCTGCGAGTATTTCAATGGTATCATTATTCCTTGATTTACCAAATTTGCAAGGTTTGTTGATAACTGCTTTGCATTCAGTAATAATGAATCAAAAGTTCATTACTTTCATGAAGTATTACATCAGGTTATTCCCCAATTCCTCCTTGAGTTCTGTCTTCAACATCACTCCTCCTTTCCGTCACAACAGGCCTCTTCCGAACCAAACAACATTTTCTAACATGTTCTTCTTAGAACAATTGAATTTAACTGATGACGCTTTGGGAATGGCAAGAAGTGAATTACCTGTTTTGAGGACAGCTTATTCTTATTCACAGTTATGTCAATACGAAGCTGCTTTTGCTAGTTTCATTGATACAACTGATAAACACAATGAATGTTATTCACAAGCGATAATTCAAATGAGATCTGCCTCAATTAACTTGAGTTTTCCATGGGCGAATGATATAATTGTTCAGAAGAATGATATGAGTCATTACATTTATCTTCCTTTCTGGACGTATTTCAGCCAAAACTCTGATATCCACAGAAGAAATGACTCAACAAACACTTCCTATTTCAGCTCTTCTTTCATTACAACAATGAGTCGATCTGTAATTGCGGAAGAAGCAATTGGTGCTTGTAAAATGATGTCTCAAGCAATCTCACAAACACATGAACCTCGTTCTGTTGACGACATCAGGTTTTGGACAAATATATGGTTGCCAAGCCTCGATAGATTATGTACAACAGCATCGAGTTTGGGCTGGAGAATCATTGTTTTACAAAACACTTTGAAAGAATTGCATAGAAATGACATTTATAATGACTTACTGACAAACTATTTTTCTTTTGCACAATTACTTTCGAATGTCGGTGCAATCAAGAGGTCATTTGATGTCCGTCTCAAAGCAATGTCTCATGCTGACGACAAATACACGAATTACCCTGAAACAGCGTATCCAAGACTTGCAAATTACATAACAAGAGCTTGGCAACTGAAAATCCCTTGTTTCAAACAAATCGTGTCTTACTACGTCGGAATGAGAGATGTACATGGTGCATTTAGCTTCTTGAAGAACTTCAATCCTCAAGAACAATACCATGTACACGTGAAACTGTTAGTCTACATCGCTACAAAGTTACCACAACTTCTTGATTTGAACAGTTTGTCAACCAAACTCAGTGAAATGTTTTCAATGATAGGACGTGAAGATTTCACACCTTTAGCGAGTGTTTTGATCTCATCAATAAGAAGAGAAAGATCTCGCTCTGCTCAACTATTAAATTCGATTGTTTCCAGCCAAATAAAAGTCCATCCATTGTGGATCAGTTGGTTACCAATTATTTATGAGATTTGCGACGATTTCCCACAAATGTTCTTCAAAATTGTCGCAGAGAGTTATCCAATCCACTTCATGATTGTTTACTTGCACATGTATTTCAAGACCCAGAAACAGCTGAAAACAGTCCAATTCGCAGCCGAAGAACTCAAAAAGTTAAAGCATAATAAACCTGCTCAAGAGATCTCTATCTTGTTCGCTTTCATCAAAGACAGTGAAGAACAGATGCAGAAGATGAGGAAATCAATTTTGGCACATAAAACATTGTACAATGCGCTTGTTAAACCATCAATTCCTATTGACCAAAACGTGTTGAATGAGTTGAATTTGAAAGATATCTTTGAATTGATTTCATTTTGCCAAGCGAATCCACCTTATTACGTCACAAACCACAGGGCAAAAGTCATCACAAATGGTTGTAAAATTCCTGTAGGAGACACAATACAATCGGTTTTCGCAATAGAAGTCGTAGGAGACCAAAAACAAGATGCACAAGCGAAATTTACATTGGAAAACGGCGAAATAACAACTGTTTCCATTGTTCCACAGGAAAGATTCAATTTCGATTCCAGAGAAGATGTTTTAGTCCGTTTCATGTCTATAACAATGGCCAACCATCCTTCTTTGAGCATGAGAACTCCATTCCTGTTTTATCCGCCCGCTTATTGCGTTTCTCCCGGAATATCAATTGTTTTCACGCCTCAACTGCAGTGGATGCATGGATTGGCCGGAAATTATCAAGTTATTTACGCAATGGCAGAGTCAGTGACGAACGCGATGCAGCAAATAATGTTCCCTCCTGATGAAGTATCTCCTTTTATCACGAAACTCCGGAAAGACCTTCATTTGTCTCCTGATTCCGCTTTCAAATGGTTGGTTGAAGGATCAGATGGTTCTCTTGCAAATTTCGTTTATTCGAGGTCTTCCATTTCATCACAACTCGGTGCGATGTTTGCTTTGAGAACTGTTTGTCATGCTCCTGCTCCTGAATTCCCAACAGTTGCTTTGTTCTCTGACAGAACAAGAGTTGCAATGACTGATTGGCTCCCAGATCCAAATGTTGGATACGCTTTCACTCCTGTTTTGTTGTCTCCTCAGTTACAGGGATTGCTTCCTTCTTTCTCTCTGCAGGGATCGTTCACAACAGCATGGTTAGCAACTATGCAGTGTTTGCAGGAAAACAGAGATGAGTTGGAATTGCTTTTGAAGGCTTTGGGAATCAACAACCCAAGATTTATCATGTTTTCTGTAGAAAGTGCAAGCCCAGTCATGACTGAGGATACAGACAAATACGACAATCCATTCCCATTCGAGTTAATCAACCATATCATCTCAACTTCAAAGAACTCTTTCGCAATGGTTGATGAAGGTTTCTCTTGGATCTAATCCACTTTTTATTTATATTTGTTTTTTTATATTATTTCTATTTTTTTATATATATTATCTTTTAATTTTTGTTTTGTAAATTATTTATATGATGTTTCGTAAAATATATAGATCTTTTTTATAACTATGCTAGCTATAACCAGTTGATATATTGAACTCAATATTATTGATTCAAATTGAATTTTATTATGATTGTAAAAGAGGATGTTTTATTGTCTTCTCGAAAAAGTGACAAAATTATCATTGTTGTCTAAAAAAGAGATTTTACAAGCATGTTTTGGTACCTAAATAAAGGTAGAACATCAATTCCATCTATGTATATAGTGTGCAAACACGCATGATATATGGAGTAGCTCTTTATCTGGTTAAAAAATTCTATTATTCGAAAATTCGCATTGTCGTCTAAAACCGCCAGACGATAATAATACCCAAAAAGTTAACTTATCATACCAAAGAAATTTATCACATTCAGAAAGTTATCTATATAATAATGCTTGTTAGGATCCTTTATGTAATTGAATAAGCTTATTTCACTCAAGTATTTGATCATAACTCTAAATCAATATTGATAGAAAATCTATTTTTATTTCTATATTTATTATTTTAGTGATGCATGCAGCAAGGACAGCCGCAGAGAGGCATCATCTTTGGTCTAGAATCAGCAGTTAAAGAGCAGTGAGAGTTCTCAATTTTGTGTTGTCCGCAGTCACAAACTCCTTCGATTTTTCCAAGTCTAATCAATCTGTGGGAGTAGTGACACATCATTGCACAAGCGAGACACATCTTCTGTCCTTCTTTGAAGTTGCATGTTTCGCAGGAAAACATCTCTTGTTCCAGTGGTTTATTTCCGTATTTGTAGAATGTGCAGGCATTTATTTCATCTTCAACACGTGGGATGTATTTGCATGCAACACCTGGTGCTGCTTGGCCTCCACAACAGCATCTGGCCCAGGCTTTGCCACATGAAACAATTTTGTGTCCTGAATGGCAGATTCTTGCGCATCCAGCACACATCCTTGTTTTAGGACCGTATCCGCATGTAAGGCATCTAAATAACTCTTGTTCAATCTCTTCTGGTCCATTCTCTCCGTATGTACATTCGAATTTGTCTTTCATATCTTTTAATTTGCAATCTCCGAGTTTTGGACAGTCGCAATAGCCTGGGGAGTTAATCATCTCGAGTTCGTGACCTGCATGGCATTGATCGGCGCATGCTTTGCAAACACATTGACCTTCTTTGAAATTACAGGTCTTGCAAACGAATAATGGCTGGAGATAAGGAAGATCTCCATTAATTTCGAGTGTGCAACGGTCTGTAAGTGTTCCGATCAATACAAAAATGGAGCAAATGATTGGATTTTCTGGTTTGAGATTTACAACTGTAAATTCTGTTGCAGGACCACTGTATTCAACACACTCGAGTGATCCTTCGGTTGGAAATTCGTAGGTGTTCTTGTAAACTTCATTTTCATTATTTTTGATCGTAACTTCGCAATTATGAATGTAATCGCCTTCGAGTTTAAGAACTATTTGTGTTATGAAGGCATTTGGCGGTAATTTGAATTTGAGGTTATCTCCTCTTGGCCAAACTTTTGGATCTTGAACTAATTGTGGTTTTAAGAAGTAGTCTGGATTTGTTGAGCCTTCGACATCAATCATTGGTTGTAAAATTGTTGGGAAGAAAGATGGAGCGCAATCACAGCAATCACAGCCTTCATCTTCACATCCACAGCCGCATTCATGATCATGGCAATGGCACTCATGCTCGTGACATTCGCATTCATGTTCGTGACAGTGACATTCATGTGAATCGTGATTTTCGGAGTGACATTCGTGATTATGGCAATGACATTCATGCTCATGACATTTGCACTTGTCCTCATGACAATGACATTCTCCATTTCCCTGGCAACATGCGCATTCTTTGTGTTCGTGCTGTTCTTCACTCATTTCACAAAATTGTGTGGAATTCTATTATTGACACTTTTTCAAATCATATTGTATTAAAGATTTTGATGTGTAATATGATAGAATCCATAATTCCATAAAATTCAACGACTTTCCTCAAAATTTGTGTGATTCAGAAAGTGAATATCGCTATCATAATTAGAGAATAAACTAAATTTACTTTAATATTTTTTTTGTCAAAAAATATTGCACTTTTTTTTATATTGTCATGTCTGGACAATTTAATGATCTTCAACCCCCGCCTCAACAGCAAGGACAGCAAAACATGAGGCAAAGGCAGAGTCCAAATTTTATTTTTAATGATATTTTAAAAGTTATTGATCCTGATGCAACTTTCCAGCCAGAAGCAATTGGCTATTTAGGCTTAATCACAAGTTCAATCACGAATAACTATGTGGTGATGTGCAAAAGATTCAATTTTACCGATTTTAAAGAAGAATATTTTGATTCTGTAAATACACTAGTTTCTTCAAGATTGGAATCTCCAGAAGATTTCAAACCCGAACCCAGCCATACACAAAATGCCCCAATGCCTCAAAATTATCAATATAATCAATACCAGATGCAGCAACAGCAAATGAATCAGATGCAATATGGAATGCAGATGGGACAAAACTCTATGCAGATGGGGCAAAACCAAATGCAATACGGAATGCAAATGGGCATGAACCAGATGGGAATGCCAAATCAAATGGTTCCAAATCAGTATGGCATGCCAATGCAACAACCAATGAACCAAGGCAACCAAAAACACATCAATCGGATGAATGCAATTAAACAATTCAAAGAATCTCAAGAAGGTGTATAAATAAATGCTCACAAAGGTTTACTCCTTAGCAAAAGATTTTATACCACAGAATTTTAATACTTGGTGAACAAATAAGTTTACAATTATATTATTATTTTCTTGTTTTGAACTTTAAATATTTATATTAATAATATTCCTTATTTCCTATCAACAGGTAAGTCAACTACATATTGAATATAAAATGTTCTTCAATAGCAAATTGAAATCTAAGTAAATTACCTCTGTATTATGTTGATATTTCTAACATCATATAGACCTTTTCTAACGTAATGGTCATTGGCCACCATTAAGTCAATGAAGAAGAATTCCAGACAAATCGGTATTAAGAAAAATAGCCTTATTCAAATATCTATTTGGATTATATTGGAGTATCTCAATGCTGATTTATTTTTATAAAATGCCGAAATTTTCTTCGAAAAGTCGGTTTAGAAATTATCCCGCCAAAAAAAACTTTTTTCCTCAAATGAGTGAAGGTGAAACAAAGACTAAGCAAGATTCTGGCTATCTCGTTCACTTATTTGTTGGTGAACAGAACACAGCGGAGCTTGCCGTACTTCAAAAGATTGCAATGAAGTTCGGTCTTACAGCATGGGACCAGATGACTCAATATCTTCCATGGAGAAACCGTGCTGCACTTAGAACAACAATGTGCAGGATTATCAGAAAGCAAGCTCTTTCAGAATACGATGGCATTCGTGCTGATCCTATCCAAATTCAGAAGGATAACGATATTATTGCTGAACAGATTCAAAAAGGCAAAGGAAATGACGATTACCTATTCAAAGGCGGCGTTTTGGTCAACGCTCGTTGGGATCGCAGTCCAGAAGAATGGGCCAAGGTTAGGAAACAAAATTCAGAAAAGTATGAGATTTCTGAACAAGAAGCAAAGGATATTACAATTCCATCAATCATATCTATCGATTACATGCGTCAACAATGCTTCAAACGCCGCGAGTCATTACTTGTTCGCAGAGCTGCTTTATTAGCTGAAAAAGCTAGAAGAATGGAAGTAAAGAACCCAGATTTGAAGGTTGATGACCTTCAGATCAGAAGTGGCCGCGATATTGTTATTCCAGCTCCATCCAATAAATTATCATTGGACAAGAACCCAGAAGAATGCTTCTTCAAGCCAACCGAATAATAGAAATACAAAGCCAAACGCTAAATTCTATTAGCTGTTTGAAAATAAAATTGAATATTAAAAAAAAAATTATATAAAAAAATTAAAAACAGTTTACGAGAATTATTTCCTAGATTTTGGATTATCGATCTTTTGCTCAAGATCCATGATCTGTGCAATTAAAGCATCGTTTCTTTGGTCTAAAACTGATTGAATTTTTGCAAAATTCTCAGTTACAATCTGTTCAATAGCCACAGCAAGTTCTGCTTGCCTTTGTTTTTCTTCAGCTTCTTTCTTTTCTTTCATGGCTTGCTCTAAAAGCCTTTGTTGCTGTTCAAATTCGGATTGTTTTTGAGCAGCAGCTGCGGCCTCTGCATCTGACATGTCTTTAGTCTCAACAATTACAGTTCTGTATAAATTAATTCCTTCAACTGATTCTTTTGTGAGTACAAATTGAAGAATATGAGAATTTGCTCGAACGTTCTTGTTTAAGTATGTAAGTACAGCTTGTTCTTCATTTGGTGTGAAATCAAGAGATTTAAGTTGACTTGTAGCCTTTTCTATCCAAACACTAAAAGCTTCTTTCGCAGAACTATATGCAGGAACGGATGAAATATAATCACTTAAAATTGCAATAATACTGATGGCTTTTGTCGTATCTGAAAACTGTTTTGCAAACTGAAAAGAGCTCATATTGAACTCGATAAAAACATGGTATGGTGATTTAGTTTTATCATCCTTATACTCAAGTGGTATACCGAACATAGCATAAAGGTCATCAGCAATATTTTCTGTAGGAACTGTTTTGAGATATGAAAAATTTTCTGCAGTCCAGCCTACTTTTGGAGTTAAAACAAGCTTGGCAGCTTCAATATTTTCTTCCTGCTTTCCTTTAGCTGCCTTTGGTTCTTTTACTGGCTTTTCTGGATTAGAACGCTTCGATGATTTTCGAGGTGGGCTCATTTTATAACGTATCGCCGTCACTTTTATTATAAGAAATAAAACTCTCTTTACTCATTTCCTCTTACATAAAGCTATGGATTACGAAAGTAAAAATATAACGAGCTGTCCCTAAAATATAGATTTAATTGTGATTGCATTATATATTTTCTTGAGTATCAATTTCTGTAATCAGAAGTGATTGCAGACAAAACTATCCGACGAAGTGGCATATTCCACTACTTGTCGACCATGTTATTCTCATTAGAGACATAATACTATGCATTGTGCCTCTCATAAGTAACATTTAGTTTAATCAAAAATTTAAAAGAATTGGAATCCATGTATCATATTTGAAATTGATATTTATCACTATTTATTGTATATTTCATATATTATCAAGTGAATTTCCGCTTCGCAACAGTAAGTATGCGATTTTCATTATTTCAACAGACATTCTAACAGAAGACGTGTGAATTCGGCCCTATAATCTCAATGTTGTGAGTTTTTCAACAGAAACTCACAATTCTATGATTATTTGATCGATTTCACAGATTTTTTGATTTATTACTTTCAAAATATATTATAATATCAAGGAATATGTTAATTAGTAGAATGATTTAACAAAAGCTGTGATTTTGAAATAATAAAATTAAAAAGATTTTATTTGCAATATTTGTAAATAATTTAGCTAAGAGAATCGAGCATTTTCATACGCTCAACAATAATTTGCTTATTGCATTCGCCAACTTCGCCAGCAACAATAAATTCATCAAGGATTGCATAAACTTTATGGAATTGGAGCAGCAAGTCCAATTCACGAACTTTACCAAAGTACTGATCCATGACCTCGACGAAAAGATGAATTGTTTCGAGAATAGCGAACTCATTATCGTTTGCATCGACACACATACACATGAAGAGAGCAGCATATGGACGGTATATGATTTTATAGTTCTTGTATTCGAGAACGTTTGTTAGATTTGAAGCACGACGGCAAACAAGACGATGGATATCAGTTTTTAGTTTTTCCTTTTCTGCTGTTGAGTATGGTGTATACCACTTGACGAGACGAACAGCGCCTTGTCTGTTAAAGACTAAGAAGAAGCGAATCATATCGTCAATATATTTGTCACTTTTTTGATCTTTATATCATGAGACGATGAAGAGTGAAAAAGAGAATAAGCAATTATTCATTTATGAGTCATGTGATATTTTAAATATCGATTTATCGCCTGTTTCTTTGAAGTTTTTTGAAATAAGGAAATTAATAAATCATTTTTACCTGGCCAATCTGCAAGTATTATTCATCACCGTGTGAAATTAATTGATATGAACTGCTTCCATGGAAATCAGTAATAATATATTATTCGAAATGATTTGAACAGCAGATTTGGTTAGCCACATCACAATAAACAACTCAAAAACGCTTAAAAATATATTTTGATTCTATTGATTTATATTCGAATAAACTCATATTTGGAAATAAATAAATTTAAAAGCATAAATATATTCTTTATATAAATTCTATTAATTAGTGATATTACATCTATATTCTAGTATTTCCAGTGGTCGATTGATAGAAATTTATTTACCTTTTCGAGTTAGTGCTTTATATACTAACAATCCAAAGCCAGATGCAACAGCAACAGATGCACCGATGATAGCGCCACGAGTTGACCAAGGAGTAGCACTTGTTTTTTCATCTTCGACAATTTGCTTGTATTGGTTTACACGTGGATCATTAAGTTCTATCGCAGGGACATCTGGGTTAATAGCCTTTGCCTTTCTTTGTAAATCTATGCCAGCATTTGTATCTTGTTTTGTTCCAATTCCAAAGAATGTTAATTTAGCCAATTCGTGAAGTGCGATCCAATCTTCTCCCTTAGTGAGAGCAAGTTTAAAGTATTCAACAGCCTTTTCTGCGTCTTTCTTCTGATATGGAATAGAAGAAAGAGGAGAGAAGTATTCTCCGAGGCCAACAATAGCATCGAAATATCCAGATTCAGCGGCTACGGTCATAAATGGTAAGCCATTCTCAACAGTTTCCTTGCTTTGTGAAAATATAATTCCAAGTTGAAAACAAGATGGTATATCTTTGTACTTATCGTAGCATAATTTAAGGAGCTCTACACCGTTCACGAATGTTGCGCTGTTTTGAAGAAGTCTCGTTGCATATTCTCTTGTAGCTGGAACATAACCACAAGAAGCAGCAAATTTAAGATACTGAAATGCAATTTCGATGTTTGATGTGTCATTTGTTTCCTGTGCAGTCATGGCATATAATTTGAAAATAGCGTAAGCAGATTTTGGATCAATTACTTTATTTTCTGAATGATTAGATGTAATCAATAAAAACCACTTTTTTTCTCCTGCTGGGTCTTTATGTAATTTAACACAATATTTGTTTTTTTCGATTGCAGTTTCAAATGATGTAACTTTTGAGTATAAATGTCCGCATACAACATGAGGGTAATCTTCTGAAAAGTTGATATTGATGAAATTTCCATCTTCTGAAAGCTGAACTTTAATTGCACTGTTATTAAGTATTTCAGGGACATCAAGTGTGATGGTACCGACTTCGTCTCCATCTTCATAAGTGTAGTTATATAATTCTAGATACTGAAGTGGGATTAATCCATCAGACATTTTGTATGTTTTTAGAGAGAACGATTAAAATTGTCAATTTTTATTCTAAGTTAGCTACATCAATAAACAGTATTTGGCATATACATCCAGGGATTTCGGTCGATGGTATATTGCTTTCATTGTCTATAGATACCAGCATTTAAAAATTTGATGATTTGGAATTCAATTTGAAATGATTTTTTTATAATATTGGATAAATGACTGAGAACCAAAGACACAGTTATAACTGTTATCATAAAGTTAATAAGTTTATTCTTATTCTAACCAATTATTAATATTTCTTGAAAAATTAATTCTAGATTATTTAAACCTATTTGCTTTTAAGATACTTTAAACCATAGGAAATATTGATTAAATATATAGGAATTTAAGCTATTAATATATTTTATTTTTATAAAAATTTAAGAATGCCATTTATCATGCCAGTTAATTGGATATCATAATATTATGGTTTACGTTAATGGTTTTTCATAAAAAGAAGGCAATAAAATAAAAATATTTACAAAATATTACGTTTTTAAACAACTGAAGAAAAAAAGATATATGAAATAGATTTGCATATTAAATTTGTGAAAGCATATCTTGTTGCTCGAAGGCTTTATCATTAATTGAAACATCTAAATTATCTTTTGATAATTTCTGGAAAATTCCGATGAATTTAAGTTTTTGTGCCTTAAGTTGAGCATTTTCTTGTTCGATCATTGCAATTTTACCATCAACATCTTTAGTAGCTTCTTTCTGAGCAATTGGAACTTTGTTCGAGCGTTTATAACTAATAAAGCTTTCTACATTACTTGTATTGTATGATCTCAAGATATCAAGCACTGCTTGTGACTTTTCGCGATTAAATGTTTTATTCTTACTTGAAAATTCTGTATGAAGGATATGATTTGAGTTGTTTTCGAATTCGAAGGCCTTCTTTCTTGTCATGAATGCTTCACCTGTACAAACAAGTTGATTAATATCAGTAATTGTATATTTTGGATAGGAGCATAAAATAAATCCTGCTCTGATCTTTTGTTGCAATTCTTGTGATAGAAGATGTTCTTTTAGATGCTCTATTTCTGTTTTTGATATGGTTTCGTCATTTATTGAATTTAATTGATATCCGAAAGCATAAATTGCTGATATTTGAGGATAAGGTAAATTCATGAGTGGCGTGTTTATAAACTTAAGCGTTTTTAAGGAATTTAAGTTGTTTGTGCCTTTAAAATCAGAAATTTTTGTGCCTGAGATATCTAAAGATATAAGAGATTCGTGTTTTAATATTCCTGTCCATGTGTTTATGAATTGATTTGATAAATCTAAATTTTGGGAGAAATTTGCAGGAATTTCATCGAAGCTTGAGCACTCTGGTGGAATTGTATACGATTCTTTTTTGGTTTCTGTATTCTTTGCTGGTGAGCTCTTTGGCTTGACTCTGATAATGTTTTTCTTCATTTCGAAATTGACAAAAAAAAAACTTGTCGGGGAGCAGTTCTCAACTACTTCTATTGATTCAGTTTCAAAATAGTCAACTAATTTGAAGTATAGATAATATGCCATTGTGCGTTTTAGTTAAACCTCAATTAACGATATCAGTTTTGATTTGAGCAATTGAATGATAAGATGTATATAGTTAGTACAATAAAATGAAAGCAGCATTACATCAGTAAAAGAAAAGACAATGGTCTACAAAATTTTAACATTAAGAACATAAGTTCTCAAAATCAGGGCAATATTGAGAGTTGATATTGAAAGATTCATTTGAAAAACTATGTGATGATTTAAAGAATAGTTGTAAAAGTCATTGAAAGCAAATTTCATTCGAATTCTCTTAGTTTGAAAAGCAAATATTAACTGAATGAAGAAACTTTTAAAAATCTAATTGGTGTCTGAGCATATTATTGGTAAACATTATTCAAAACTTGCTGAAACGAATTTGTTCTAGATTTTAAGAAATATTAACTAAATGAAGATTGTAAGATTTACATGAAGATATGGATAAAATTATAACTTAAGTTATAATGAACTAGAAGATTTTGTTTATTTTATTTTCAAATTTATAATGGAATGTGCTTCAGAAGCACTCCAAATCGCCTTTCAAACCAGTTAACTCAATTATAATATATAATAATGAGGCTTTCTCAACAAATTGGATGTTGTAGTAGGAAATCATTTCAAAAAATTTCAATATGTTCTCAAAAAATAATGTGAGTGAACGCTTTTTGAATATCGTTCAAAAAGCGCTAGAACGATAAAGCGATCATAGTACGTGTACATTATTATGTGAATATAAAAAATTAAAAATTTTACCAAAAAAAAGCTCGGTAGATTCCACCTTCGTTTTCAATTGTATTTTATTTCATTATGTGTGCATATTACAAGCTGTTATTCTGCCCTAATTTGATCGAATTAGAGAAACCTATCAAAAACCTCATAAATTGAAAGGTGAATATATTCACGCAAATTTGAATTAAGGGATCTTTGAGCTAATGTTGAGTATTAACAAATGATGTAAAAGGCAATGCATATCAGAATTTTCTCAGATACAAAAATTAATAAAATTATCGAAAAAGTGTCTGACATTACTAAAAATATATAAGAATATTCTGCTGTAGATTCTGATCATGTTATTGATAGTATTTTATTATAACAATTACTGTACATTTTATTCATGCAAACATTTTATTTATTTGTTCTTCATCCAACTCAGCATCAGCCATAATACTTACCCAAATGTCTGTATTGCAATCATTTTGGCCTCTTTCAGTAGTATTATTCCCTGAATTTGAATTTTCTTGAGTAGAAATTGTTTCTTTTACTTTAGTAAGTTGTTTGTGGCGAATTTTAACTTGATCTCCCGATCTATTTTTGAGGAATTTTGATATAAAAGACCATTTATTTCCATACTTTTTATTATAATCTAAAATCAGTTTGTCTTCGTCAGCTGTCCATTCGTCTCTATTTTGACTGAGGAAACCCTTGAATCTTTCCACAATTGATCTTCTTGAATGGTGAGCACTTAGCTTTTTTTCAAGTAAGTCAATTGCTGACATTATATTGTCACCATGCTTCTTAACTTCTTCGATTATCTTGTTGTCTTCTTCTTTCGAAAACCTGTGAATCACCCTCTTGGACATTACTTATTTATATATTGTTTTTTGAATGAAATATTCAATGATTCTCAAATTGAATATATTGGGCGGTTATTAGTTTATTGAGATATTTTGATGTTAACGTAATAAATTATATCTTTTTGAAATATACATTCCTCGTATTTTGTAAAGCTTTCAATTTTGCAAAGAATTTTGTAAAACTTTAGAAGATCCATTTTAAGAAATATATATATACAAAGAAACAAAAAAAAATAACTAAAACTTATGATTCTTAAAGAAGATATGGCTGAACGTACAACTGACATATTCTACTCTCAAACGTAAATCGAAAATTCATTGTAGAATCATATTCTCATTCCTATTTTATTAAGCAAATCAAGAACCCAAAATTTGTATACTTCTGAAATCAGCGAACAATTTTAGCTGAAATAAGAAAAATTAATTCAATATCCAAATTAATGAGATATGTAGTCCCCAAGGATAATGTTCATGTGTATTTTCATATAAAATCTAATTTAAAATTTTTCTTGAATAATTTTAAATATTGTTTTGTTTCAAATGATTCAGAAGCCAACTCATTAAAATATTATAGCAGGAGATTTTGTAATTTGGATAATAACTAAAAATATAAAATATAACCAATAAAAAAAAATTTTAATTTCACTCAACATGATATAATTAGTATTTTAATCATTGATGAGCAAATTAAAATGAAATTGCAAAACTATCATCTAGCCAATCTGAAGTAAGAATAAAATAACAAAATATCTGCCTTACATGATATCAGCAACCCATTTATTAAGTTCATCCTCTTCTAAATGCCATTATTAAGCGATTATATTAAAAATAGATTGCCATGAATAAAAAAATTGGAGTGAAAAATTAAATCAAAATAAATTCTATATGTTCTCAAAAAAATTGAAAGCATTATTCTTTTTGCTTAAAAAAGTTACGCCGTTACTCACAAATTTCATAAAGCTAAATCAAGTAAAACAATTATTTGGTGAATCATCATTATAATACTCAAACACAAATTCCAAAAATCTTGTATGGCAGTTTCATTTGCTAGAATTCTCTCAAATTATTTCTGAGATATTTGGTAAATTCTTTTGAACAACTTTTTCAAATGTTACGAGTGGAAATTCATTAATGATATAATTGATTTGGATGCACAACATAAGTATATGTTCATTACCTTAGGCAATAACTCGGATATTAAATGATATTTTGACTTAAATCACAATTTTATTTAAAAAAACTGGATTGCTTTACAATAAACTAGTTGTAAGCATATGCTCTCATGTGTATAATTCAAAATATATAAATAAATATAGAAAAAAGAAAAAATTAGCTTGTTGAAGCAAATGTATATGTCATTCAACAAGTTAAAGTTATGAGTATCAAAAAATCTATAACCAGCAAATGAAATCTGAATGGTTATAGCCGATGGAATACCTGAGAATCATATTTGTATGTTATATCATTGTAACCAATAATAAATAATACGAATATATGATTATTCTTACATAAAAATTTGACTCGGAAAAGCACTCGGTATTAAGTTCTTTATAATGCATGAAAAGTGCTGTAAATGTGATAGACCTCATTGTTTTATCGATAGATTAATCATTTATAATAAATTATCAGAATTAAGGGTGCATTGCCTTAACTCTGTATATGTATCATCCACAAATACTATTTGCTCCGATATTTTTGATTTCAAAGTCCCAACGATTCTTCCATTGTCCTAAACTTCCGTGAAACTAAAATCTTTTTGTCAAGACAAATTTTAAAATCTTATGAGTGCAGAAACAACTGAAAAGGTAGCTGAAACCGCCCCAGAAGTTAAGGCAGAAGCGCCAGCTGAGGAAATGACATACTTTATTTACCATCCACACGAACTTTGGCTTAAAGGAAAGAATAGGCCAATGTTTGAAAGGCAATTAATTGAAAACATGAGACATCAACTCAAAGCGTCAGGAGTACAGAACTTCAAAGTTGCTCAAATGCATGTTGAGATGCTTGTTTCAGCACCAATTCAATATGTTGATACAATTTATGAACTTTCAAAGAAAATATTCGGTGTTGCAAAGTACTCTCGTTGTTACAAAGTTGATCGTGATGTTGAAACTTTACACAAAGAGCTTGCAAAATATATTACTGATCTTCAAGCTAAAGGTCCAATCAAGAGCTTCAAAGTTGACACATCCCGTGTAGACAAGCGTTATCCAACCAATTCAATGGATTTTTCCAAAGAAATCGGCGCTTTTATTCATGATAATTACAACATCCCTGTTGATCTCAAGAACCCAGCCCTCAGGATAAACATTGAGATCCAAAATGACTGTTTCTTCTTCTATTCAGAGCGTCTTGATGGTGTTGGCGGCTTACCAGTCAATACATCTGGAAAAACAGTTGTTCTCCTCTCCGGAGGCTTCGATTCTCCAGTAGCCGCATGGTCTGTCATGCGCCGTGGCTGCCAAGTTGTCTATGTCCACTTCCATTCTTCGCCATACGGAGAATGGCGTAGTAGCGTTGGCAAGGTCAGGAAGATTGTCCAGCAGTTGGCAACATGGGGAGGACCAGATACATTTTATTCTGTTTCCATTGGCGAACAACAGCGTCAAATTGCATTAAAAGGTCCATCTAAACTTCGTGTTACATTATACCGCCGTTTGATGGTCAGAATAGCAGCTGCTATTGCCAAAAGGAATAAATGCACTGCCCTTACAACAGGAGACAACCTTGGTCAAGTCGCATCTCAAACAATCGAGTCAATGACAACAATTCAAGCAGCAATTAATCCTTTACTTATTCTCAGACCATTACTTGCAGATAGTAAAGAGGAAATCATCGAAAAAGCAGCCAGAATTGGAACAAAAGAAATTTCAGTTCTTCCGGCTGGAGATTGCTGCTCACACATGTTGCCAAAGAAGGTTGCTACAAAGCCAACAATCGAAGAAGCAATTGAAGGTGAAAAAGACTTGAATGTCGACGAAATGGTCAAAACTGCTCTCGAAGGAATGCAGGTTATAGATATTAATGATCCATGGAATGATGAGGCACCGGCTGAAGAACCACAAGCTTGCCCTCTCGCTTTCCAGGAATAAATATAGAAAATTAAATAGAATTTAATAATCATTTGTTTATTAATTAAATATATTAAACAACAAGACACATATTATTAGGAATTCAACATAAATTTTTGAGAATCTAAAACATATTGATTTTACCTATCAATGAAATTGAAAGAACTTTGGAGGAATGTTTATCTAAACCTATTGCAAACGATTTGGTCGGAGAATCCTCTTAAATTTTTTCCATGTCCGAACAAGGCATACGCCTAAATAAATTCGATGAATTACGAAGTATCTATAAATCCCACATTGATTTATATATTGCATTGTATCAACTGAAAACTTAAAAAGAAGAAGAATTAAAAGCAATTTACAAAATGATCAAAACAGAATTGATTGATTCGATGAAATATCTTCCCAAAAATGTAATAAAAGATATTTTAAATATTATTCCGTATAATAATCGCTATACAAAGTCATATTTATCTCTTACCAAACTCATATCTGATGAATATCATGTCAAAGAGGTCAATAATGTCATAAGTATTTCAAACTTCCTATTTTATAAAGAATATGGAATTAAATTAGACAAGTCTGATGATTTCGAAAAAAATAAATTAAGAAAATTGAAAGTTCACACAGAAAATACAATTTACAGAGCAATTATGAATAATGACAAAGAAAGATTCATCATGTTCACAGAAAGAGAAAGTTTTAATAAAAATCAACTACTTACGAGCGATTTGTATCCATATACATGGTACGGATATTCATTACTTGAATTATGTTGTTATCATGGAGAGGTTGATTGTTTCAAGTTATTAAGAACGAAATTTAACTCAGAAATCACTCAAGATTGTATAGAATTATCATTTTTAGGAGGAAATCAAGAAATCATGAATGAATGTTTGAAATATAGGGTGTCCAAAGGTGTGTTTAGCACAAACCTGAATACTGCGAATAGAAATAAACAAGTTACATATATATAAAGTTTATTTAAATATAATCACCATTGGATTCAATCACGCGTTCGCAGCGATCGATCCAGGCTTGAAAGACACGCTTTAAATCATCATGAGAAAATTGCTCAAATTGCTCTCTACAAAATTTTCAGATCATCTGGACTCGCGAATTCGCGTCCTTCAGTCTCTTTTTTTAGCGTGCCGAATAAATAAAAGTCAGAGGGTGCAATATCAGGTGAATAACTTGGGTTTGGAACAACTTTGACATTGTTTTCCACAAGTAATTCATTACCTTATGACTTTTGTGAACTCTTGAATTATCAAAATGAATTGCAAACTTTTGTTTTTGTTGTTTGGATTTCTCAAACTCATCAGAATTGATAATTTGAGTAAGAACATTGTCAATTAGATACTGAGCATTCATCGTATTAGGTTTTTGAAAGATATCAATTGCGATGATGCCATTCACGCCCAAAAAACCGACAACATCATCATTGGTGTGTCACTTTTTTCTTCGGAAATGTTTGCGGATTTTCATCCTTCGGGATCCACATGATTTTGGCTTCTGTTGCATATTGAAACCAAGACTCGTCAGTTAGTATCCCTATCTTGGGTACGGCGGCACTGCGTTCCACCTTACCCAAGATAACGGTTTGACACTTTACAAAACCGCTAATGTATATTTTACAACACAAACACAAACACTAACTTAACCTTAAATATTTACAAAACCACCACTTCACCTCACCAACATTTCGCTAACGACTTCACTAATGAAAAAATAAACGTTCTCACTAACGTTCCCACTAATGTTCTCATTTAACAAGTATTGCAGCGCTTCCCATTGCTGTGCTTCACACAATAGTTCATATTCTTCAGTATGCTGCTGTCACTCCAATCGTCAGAGTCAAAGTCACTGTCAAAATAAATGTTAGTAAGTTTTGACAAAGCTAATGAAACACGCTTACCGTTTGTATCTATTGCTTTTATATATCTCCCATTATGTTTGTTGTCATAAATGCTATAACTAACTTTACCCTTTCTCCCTCGTATCTGATGAGATGTATTTCACGAGGAACGAAGAACAAGTTCTTGAACTCATGACCGTTGTAGTTTGTTATTCAATAGTTTTCGTCATTACATCCAAATAAAAATTCTAGTAAAAATAAAATAACGTTAAAATTTCTCATAACTAAGTTCTCATTACTTTATACTCTCTTCCTTTCTCCAACTCTTCTAACTTCTTCTTAAGTTCAGCATAGTTGTCCTCATGAAGTTTAATCTTTCTCAAAATTCCTTCTTTATCTAATGGTTGCTTTATCTTTCTAAACTGAACTCTAATTCCTCATAGATAGAATGTAAAAACCTTCTGGAATAGTTCCTGATTTAATGTATTCTACCAAAAACTTTTGTTTCATTGCTTCAGTGACTTTATTTGTCATTTCAATCAAATAAAAATTTTAATATTAAATAAAAATAACGTTATTTTTTCAGTAAGGAAACGCAGGAGTTACGATTTATTTGAGGCGTGGTTTTTGGTTTAAATGTTGGGTCGGTTTAGGAGTTGACTTTTAACAGGAGTTTGTACTTCCATAGGTTCAGGAGTTATTGAAGGTTTTGCTTGTGAAGGCGTTGGTTTTGGCGAATGTGTTGGAGTTTGTTTAACTTCAGCTACTTCAGTATTATTTATAACATTTGCTTTATTTCTTTTCAACATCATAACTGCTCCTGCTGTAGCTAGCAAACCTAGTGGGAGACCATATCTTATATAAGGACTTGACCAAATGCTATTTTTGACAGGAGCTGGTGGAACACCTAACCTTGGTGAAACTGCTCTTTGCCATTGTGCAGCTCGTAAGAAATATTCAATAGGTGCTCCATAATCGTTTGGTAAAGTTTGTTTCATAGATGGTGAAGTTCGCGAGAGCTTGATGAAGAACTCATTTATAAGCTTTAAAAATAAACGTTCATCCTTTATTCCTCACTGTCGTCCGTGGCTAAGTTATAGTCTCTAATCTTATTATGGGATGCCATTAGCACGCACCTGAATGGCAAAGCAACATACCCTCATAAATCAATAAGTGGCTTGGTACGTTTTCAGTTCTAGTTCAATAGTCCTTTAACAGACAATTTGTATGTTTATTGGAGCAGTAGATGTTTGACCTTGTTGGAAGCAAAGTCCACTTCTGTTGGAAAACCACATAAGAAATGTGTGTTGTCATAGCTATCCCATTTATGTTCCACACTACCATCATCCACCAATGACCTCATAACATCTTCATTAAATCCTATCATATCATTGTTTGTATTGCAGGCGTTCGCAACCATTTCATAAAATACAGGTCCATATGATTTTTCAGGTTCTGCAGGCATATTTCCATAAGCTCCCATGGAAAGCTGAAGATATTTAAACTTAGGGTTCTCAAAATTAACATAATAGTTGTCTTTCTTTCTAAATAGTGCCAAATACTTTTAACATTAATAGGCGTATAAGCTGCTGTAAATGTTGCACTTGAACTATCTGTATTCTTTTGAGAATGAACCGTCCATAGGAATCCAATCATAACTTTCAAGAAAAACATAAAGCCTCGTTTGTATAATGTTCTACAAGTTCGTGTATAATGTTAGGGTCTAAAGAGAATGACTTTGGATGAATGAAACATTCATTAAAATCCATCTTTGTTCGAAATAGTTGCTGGTTTACAGTTGTAATAGTAACTGTTCCACTAGCTTCTACTGCCTTCGTTATCATAGTGAATGGTTCATTCCATGGAAAAATTTATTTGTCGTGGATTTGAATCTGAAGCAAATGCAACTTTAAGAGTTGGATTGAAAGCAATGATATCATTTACAGATATAGATGTGCATTGTAAGGCGTCGCTACTGACTTTACTTTAAGCTGAATGTTACCAGCAAATGCTGGAATAAATCTTATAGCTTCTAATGGAAGGAATCTTCTAACAGGAATTCTTAAACGAAGCTTAAAATCAAAATGATTTTCCTGCTGTAATTGGACCACTAACAATTTGTCCTGTTCTGCATGTTCCCGAATGACTCCATACATTTTCATGTCGAGTCTTTTAGAAAACATCTACTTTCTTTATTTGTTCGGTAGTTTGAGTTTGAAGTTATATATGCTTCTTCTCTTGCGTTGTCTTGAGAATATACGATACGACATTTGCAAGGATTTGATATCCAGAAAACTGCATAGAAAGCGTCATCGAAACCAACCAAAATCCTGTGTGGGTTTGTTTTATTGAGACCTGACCATTTCTTTATCTGCAATAAATTGACTTCCATTTTATACGTAATGAATGTATTGTAAAGGTCCAACATATTTTCACCAGGAGGTGAGAGATTGAATGTTACCCATTGTTTATCTTTAGCAGTTCCAGGTTGTGATGGAATCTTTGCGTCAGAATATTTTCTATTAGTGTACCAATTTGAACTGCATTGTCTATGATATCGAAATATGACGAATCTGATGAATATGCTCTGCTGGAGTAAATTCGTTTAACTGTTCGTTCTGCATGTATTTACTTCGGATAAAAATATCTATTTACTTCATTATTCTCACTCTTCTTCTTGGCATTCGTGGTGGAAGTTGTTTCTGACATTTTCAATGAACTGTACATTCTCTTTTGTCTCAACTTCTTTCACTGGTGGTCAGGATTCTTTGACTCGGTTTGTTTTTCAATGAAATTACGAACTTTGCAATAAGCTCTTGGTTCGTTATTGAAAGAAACATCTGGCTTCTTTTCTTCTTGTTCTATTGACTTTTCAGTTTGAATAGAAGGTTTATATGGGCTTCGTGGCTTCGCCCTTGCATGCACCTTAATGTTGTCACTCTCTGCATTCGCTAATGGAACCTTCTTTTCTTACGTATATTTTACCATCTTTACTCTGACTTACATAATAGAAAGGATGTTGTATTCCTCTTGCGTCATTTAATATAATAGACTCTCGCTCTGATTTTGACAAGCTCATTTTACATCGGTTAAAGTTTTAATTTGTTTTTATTCTGCAGTCAAATGACTCAGACAAGTCCTACGGACAAGACCAGGGGGTCAT